TGTTTATCTTCATCCTTAGTTGATTTGTTGGTCTGGGTTTTGTTTCTTGCTTGAAGCTTGTTGTTATTTTGCTTGAACTTAAGTTATAATTGATGGTTTACATATCTTTTATCTTTTATCTTTTATGAAATTTTCTACTATAATTTTTTTATCTTTTATTTTGAAATAAAAGAAAATCAGTCTTGCTAAAAGTTCATTGTCCATAGTTCATACGTGATACCTTGCTAACAATAATAATAACAAATCGGAAACAAGGTGAAAAAGAAATAAAGATACAAAGAGAAGTGCAAGTGTAAGCCTGAGATTTAAGGTCTGCACAATCTATAGCTTAAACTACAGTCTTAATCTAAATGAGCAAAGTATCATTTAGAGAGTGCATAAATACTTCTGGACTGCTTCAAATCTCTCTGACATCAAAATTTAAGGCGATCTGGTCCGAAAGACATGTAACATTGCCCCTCCATATTAGTTCATCAACCCCCTCATCCCTTCTCTTTTGGCAAACTCCCAATTATCATAAAAATGAATATAGAAACATGAAATTTATATGAGTACTGCTAGAACAACATTCAATGGTTCAATAACTTACAAAGACATCCTTTTCCTTGGTTCCTTCATCCAAAGTCCTTGAAAAGAACCTATACAAAAATGAAGGTTAATGTCAATTAAACAAACCCGAGGCTGAAGCAGAAGTTATTTACCCGACTTTGTTTGGTTGAGTTTACTTGAACACATGGGAGTTATCTAAAAGATGTCTGCCATTTACTTTTCCCTGTAAAGCATTTTAAACTTGGTAAGTTAATTGTACAATGTCATTCCATATCAAGAGAAAGAAGAACCATATTGAAGGCAAGGGCCTTGGTGTGTTCATGAATTTTATTGTCTTATTTCTTGTCAAGAATATCATAGAAAACCTTTGGTTTTCTGTAATCTGTGATGCACAATGCCTAGAACCATAAATGTACTTTCAGACGTTATCGACCGGAATATATATAGGATTATTATCTGAGACACATCGATAAAAGTTCTTGACAAACGACCTACCTGCATTGCAAGAGCTATGTGCATTAAAGTGGGTTCTGACCATGGCTTCCCTATGAATTGAAGGCCAATTGGCAAACCAGCTTTATCATAGCCAACCTATGTAAGCATGGAGGATTTGATATCAGTAGACGGTAAACAACAACATAAAAACTTCTATGATTAGTAGTGGTAAGTTAATTACGGGAACGGTGATCGCAGGTAGTCCCAGAACATTTTCGGCGAATAATTTTAGTTGAAATGACAGTAATATGGTCAGCTTCTTTTGTCATGAATATTTAGACATGAATGCATACTTGAAAATGTGTTGGAATTTCATTACCTCCGTTTATGTAGTCAAGTTCACTAGTTTTTAGAGCAGCTTTGGATATGGGGTATGTTGTCATACTGTTTTGAAAAGGAACTGGGTAAATATAAGGAATGCAAAGTTTAAGTTAAAGGCTGGAGGTGAAAAAAGTACAAAAAAAAGTAAAAGACAGAAGAACAGATGCAAGCTGTGGCGGTGAAAAAGAATCTACCCTGTTGTTGGAGTGACTATGACTTCTGCCTTGGTGAATATTTTGTTATGAATCTGCATATGGCGGTACCTGCACATTCGTGGTCAAGCACCTTAGTTTAAACCATTTCACGATAAGTGGAGAGGACTGATTTTAATATAAAATTGTTGATTGGAAAAATTAGGTTGTAGCAGATTTTGGCGATACATTTCTTTTTGGTTTGAGTAAATTTGTCATTTCCGAAGCAAAGTGTAGTGTGGAACCAACGTTTTTTTCTTTTTCATTGCGTCAGTTTTGGTTGTTTTTTCCAAAGCAATTGGTTTTATTAAATGCTTTCAAAATAGGTGGGGCTCTTGGTTTTTGTTTCCCAGATTATTAAGTTTTGGTGGTCTGCGCATGGTTCTTCCTTTCTATGTAGTGGATGCTCATTTTTCTTGGAGGATATGAGTAGGGTGCACATGGGGCGCACGGTTATGTCCACTTTGAGGGACTTTCAATATGTGTTTTGCGTTGATACATAGGACATCTGGTTTCCTGTTTGCACATGCCCGTTATCTCGTTTGGTCCACTCAAATACAAAGTGCTTGTTTTCTTCTTAATATGGCTGTAAATCAGGGTCGGTTATGGTTGAGCATACCGATATGTTCCTTTACGGTATTTTCCGTGTCAATGTTTCCATCTCCGGTGATGGGTGGGAAGATGTTGTTGATAGTGGATTCTGCCATGTGGTCTTTGTCCATGGTAGTTGTGGTATGTTGGTGCTGTAATTACTGGGTTTGTTGGTTTTTTCAGTGGAGTGGTTGATTGGTTGGGTATTGTTGGTTTTTTCAGAATGTATTATCTAGAAGGTTGGTGCCTTCAAATAGAGCTTAGTGTTGGATTGCTGATTGCTTCTTGTATCTTGTTTGGTAGCGAGATCCTCATCAAGGCCTCTCTTTGGTTGTTCGCTCGAGAGCTTTTGAATATACTTCTGCTGCCTCTGTTCGTTTTTGGTAACTCTGTATGCGTAGACGTTGTCGAGGGAGCCTGTTCGGTTGGATCTGTTATGTTGTTTTTTAGTTTTTGTACGATTATATGCAGCATATGGCTGCAGTTTCTTGTTCATTTTGGTCGGTAGTGATAGTTGCTTTTAAATTGTTTTTTTAGGTGATGGTGATCTTTGTTGGTCTGGCTTTCGTTTCTTGTCTGTTTTGTGTGTTTTGTTCTCTTATGTAGTGCTCTTTTCCTCCAACTAGTTTAGGAAGGTTTTTAATGAGGCTCATAAGTTGTACGTTCTCTTGATTTTAATAATCAGAAGTAATTTAGAGAACATCATCTTATAGAAACCTAAAAGAAGCTCATTCTTTTTACAGAAGAATGCAATAAAGATAAATATAAATTTCCAGTTTCTAGAAATTGTATAATATAAATTTTATTACAATTTTCTAGGCTTGAGAGTTAGCTTATCTTTGGTGATCGACTGATCTTACTTTCACGAGTTTTCTGCAAATAAGAATCACTTTTTTTCTTTACATGCTTGAATTCTTGATGCTTGAAATAGAAATTTGGTGGTTACATTACTGGTTTTTGCTTGATCCCATTCGATTTTATCTTTTCTAATCTCATGTTAAATTAGTTTTCATTTATTTTTAATGTGATGACACACAATTGTTCTTGTTCAATATTATTATGTTCTAATATTAAAATGTTTGTTCATAATAACAGTTATGGCTCGTTTACCGATGCGAAAGAAGATGCATATCGCCACAATTCTTATTTTACAACTACAAATGATGGAGATTGTGTGTCATATGCTTATGGTTATTTCAGTTATTCTTAGAAAATATAAAAATAGACCTAAAATAAGTTATGCACATGAAAGACTTCATAGACATAATATTAGATCACTTAATTTACATAAAATTATATTTGAAAGTGATAGACAAAGTGTTGATAATTGTCGAATGGATAGGAGAGCATTTCTCAAATTGTGTCACTTATTACAAAGTCAATGTGGGTTAAAAGAGAGTCGATCTATGTCTATAGAAGAAATGGTTATTACTTTCCTTCATATTATATCCCACCATATTAAGATTAGAGTTCTAAAACGCCAAACAGTAAGATCTGGTGAAACAATTAGTAGAGTTCTCCATACAGTGTTAGCTTCAGTCTTGAAACTGCATCCGATTCTTTTTAGAAAACCAGAACCGATACAAGATAATTCAACAGATGATAGATGGAAATGGTTTAAGGTATTGTATCATAATTCTGAACTTTCTTTTAAGTTAATTAGTAATACTTAATACATAAATGGATAGTAAAAATGTAATTTAACTTTATTTGATGAATATAGGGATGTTTGGGTGCTCTAGATGGAACGTATATTAAGGTCAATGTAGCTGCAATCGATAAACCTAGATACAGGACAAGAAAAAATGAAATTGCGACAAATGTACTTGGTGTTTGCACACCAAACATGCAATTCATTTATGTTTTACCTGGGTGGGAAGGTTCTGCAGCTGATGGTAGAATACTCAGAGATGCCATTAGTAGAAGAAATGGTTTAAATGTTCCACAAGGTAAATTATTAGGTCATATATATATATATATATATATATATATATATATATATATATATAAGAATGTAAAATTCTTACAAGTTTTGTATATTAATTTACTTTTTAAATTAAAATAATATAGGGTGTTACTACTTATGTGATGCTGGATACACGAATGGAGAGGGATTTCTTGCACCATATAGAGGTCAAAGATACCACTTGAATGATTGGAGAGAAGGACACCAACCTACCACCCCTCAAGAATATTTCAACATGAAACATTCTCAAGCTAGGAATTGCATTGAGAGATGCTTTGGCATATTGAAAGCGAGATGGGCAATTTTAAGGGAAAAATCATTTTATCCAGTGAAAACACAATGTAGACTCATTTCAGCTTGTTGTATTCTCCATAATTTCATAAGATCTGAGATGCCAATCGATCCTATTGAATCTGACTATACTGAAGATAGTAGGCATGTTGAAGAGATTATTGAAGTAGAAATGATCAGACATTGTGAGCCAAGCAGTGCTTGGACTGAGTGGAGAGACAAATTAGCAGAAGATATGTTTACTAGTTGGTTGGCGTCACGTACTTTAGGATAGATGTTATTTTATGTTATGTATGACTTTCACCTTCTATTTTATCTAATGTTAGTGGTCATTACTTTCATGTATTTGACATCTTTATATTTTATGGCATAAACTTTATTAAATTTTCTGTATTTCTCTTCTATAAAATTCAAATTTTATTTGTTATGGACATTCATTACTTATGTCATTCACTACAGTTGATTTATATTATGTTACTATTTTAAATTTCATTTATGATTAGTATTGACAATGATGACATGTTTTATGTTATGTTATACATTTTTTATATACATCTTCTTAGATTGTTTCGAAGAGAAATATGTCAAAATCAAATATGGAATCTCAAAGGGGGGAAAAACCACCGACATCTAGAAAGGTTAAGTCTTTAGTAACTAAAAGGACATGGACTAAAGAGGAGGATGCTGCACTTGTTGAATGTTTACACATTTTGGCTGAAGACCCACATTGGAAAGCTGATAATGGAACATTTAGATCAGGTTATCTATCTAATCTTGAAAAGATGTTAGAAATCAAGCTTCCAACATCACAAATTAGGGCCCATCCTCATATTGAATCTAGAGTGAAGCTACTCAAAAGACAATACAATGCTTTATCTGAAATGTTGAATATTGGAAGTGGATTCGGTTGGAATGAAGAAGAAAAATGTTTAACTGCACCAAAGGATGTGTTTGATGATTGGGTTAGAGTAAGTATTTTAATTGAATTTATCTCATTTCTATACTCTTTGTTATCTACTTAGCTTTGTAAGATTTATTAAATTTGTGATTTTATTATATTGTAGAGTCATCCAACTGTTGCTGGATTGAGAAACAAGTCATTTCCATTCTTTGATGACTTTGTTCATATATTTGGAAAAGAAAGAGCTACAGGAATAGCAGCAGAGACAGCATCTGATGCAATGGAACATATTGATGTTGAAGACAATGCATTTATAGATGCATTACTTGAAGAAGAGGGAGTAAGAGATTCTGAATCAAGAGAGGATGTTGGTGCTTCAACTTGCCAAACATCTGATGCTACTGCCTCTACCCCTACAAAGAAAAAAGTAGCTAGCAAGAAAAGGTCTCGAAGTGATGATGGGTTAACTGAGCTTGTACAGGAGATAAGTAAGTTCGGTGCTGCATACCGAGAAACTGCCAAAGAAATTAAGGATATTATTGCTTTATTGAAAAAGGAGGCAGAAGGAAATGATCGAAGAATGTCGATTTTCAATGAAATCATGAAATTGAAGGACTGTCCACTGATGAAATGCTTACTGCAGGAGAGTATATTAGCAAAGATGCGCACAAGGTAGATTTCTTCTTTTCTTTGCCAAAAGAATTCAAGCAAGATTATGTGATTAAGCAATTGGTTGAATGCCGTCAATTTAGACCATCATTTTAACTGTCGTCCTTCTACAATTATGTCGATCTCTTTTTGATTATGATTTTAGAATATGGTCCCAACTTTTTTGTGTAGCTTAGCCAAGTATATGTCAATATTTTGACTTGAAGAATTTTGTGTGTATATAATATAGCCAACATATATGATTACGTTTAAAATGTCATGGCAATTATCTTTTGTAAGTCTGAACATTGTATAATCTTTTGATGGTTAATGTTATACTTCTTTTTGTTATGTAGTATATGAGTTGCAAGTAATGTTCTAGTTTTCGAATATGTTAATTACTTTTGATAGTTTTTGTTATGTAGTAAAAACCTTGTCTTTGATAGTTAAGAGTTATCGCTTTCTTGTGTGTCGCAACTTATCGGTAGTGAATATTGGAAGTCTTTGATAGATGGTGTTACATAGACAAGTAGAGCAGCGTACTGGATCAGCCACTGAAATACGACTTCGTATATACTGTATATTCAGATACGAGGATGAATAGATAGCATCTATGGAAGAATTTAGAGAACTAAATATGCCCGGGTATATATTGAATATGAATATTTCAAGGAAAATGGAGAAGAATAACATAACAACAGCACAACCAGTAAACAGAACTACTATGGCTTTTCTTCATTGATGCAACATACCGACCTTTTAGAAGAACTGCATAAAGTAATGATTAAGAGGGGAGGATGTTGAGGAAGGGCCAAATAATGTATGAAAGTCTAAAGGGCTATCATTGATAAACAAAGCTGTGAAAATTTCAGATAGATATACAAGTTGCTTGAAACATCACCCACGAAAATCTTAATTCTCCATGTTTACCCAAACTTTGTTTCCCAACTTTGAAAGAGGCTGATTGATCGCCATGTGCCCATGAAAGAAATAAATGCTGGCTTATGTTTTGCTGCATTTCCAAAAAATCAAATTCAAGTTAGGGTGCCATTGTGCAAATATGGTCCAAGTATGTTTAAATTGTCTATGGAAATGCATGCAGCTAATATACATCTGCAGCACATGTATTGAATGAAAATACTACTGCACCGTGCAAATCTAAGTGCCATCATAAGAACATAGCTCTGATAATATGCTTAATGAGTCGACAAGCCATAAGCTTCAACTATAATTTTTCAAACACTATAACGGGAAATCATTAGAAGCTCCTATAATCTTTCTACTTCAACAAATTTTCGGAAACTTACCGAACTCCATCTACCTCATCTTTTAATACCAGAGTTTTACATTCACTAAGCTCAAAGAACTAGCATCACATACATTCAAAAGTTTCCACCTTTGTACTTGATACACATGAAATATTGGTTCTCACCACCTTAACCCCGCAAGATTGACTACCAACATAGTTGGACTCTTCGAAAGACATACAAACTAGAAGCATAGAACATATAAATGCATTGTTGCAAATAATAATAATATAGGCCTTGTTCAATATAATGTGTTGATCGAGAAGTTAACTAAAGCTAAAAACAAACAAAATAAATCTAGTTAACTTTGTCTAGAATGTACCTTCTTCGCTTAGTATATTGGGTTGATCAACCCAAAGTTGGTGAAGTGCACCCAGATCACCGAAACTGCAAATCAAGGAAACATAACAATTACAAAGCCATGACTTAAAGAATGTTGTAAAGTAATTCCCTTCTTTTAGGAAGTTAAATAAATTTATTTTAACAAACCAAGAATCAAGTGAACAAAAACTCATATCTTCATGTGGGAAAGGATAAATAACAGAATAAGCACAAAATAAGTGGAAATAAGCTCTTGATATTTTATTGCATGGAATTAGGATTATGAACTTTCATTACACTGTATTTGTCATCTTGTTCAACCGAATAAATTCATGTGAACACTTTTATATAATCATAATTCCTCAAAATAAAGATACAAAGTTTAAACTTTAATTTACATTTGTATTCTTACTTAAGTATTATCTCATTTATTACATAACAAAAACTCATTTTAATATATTTTTACATAAATTATGTAAAATTTAATATTAATTAAAATTAAAATAATACATGATATATTTAAATACTCAAGTAATATATTATTAAAAATAGAATTTTTTTATAAATAATTTTTATTTAAATATTTAGAATTTCATTTGTTAAAAAAACATAGAACAAAGACAATTTAGTAAAATATACATTTCAGTAATCTTTTATTCCTTCAACCAAACACTATAATCTTACATTCCTGTCAAACTAACCAAACACAGTAATGTAACATTCCCAGTAATCCTATTCCCAGGTAATCTTTTATTCCCACTGGTAATCTTACATTCCGTGAACCAAACGCACCCTTAATACTCACCAGCGTTATTGTAATTATTGAATAATTATAAGATAATATTTGTTATAAAAAATTAATTATTGGTGAAGCATATTATTTATAGTATAGGAACTAATTTTTTTAAAAAAAATTAAAATGAAAAAAAATCACAAATTGGAACGGACTTGAGAAAAAAATACTTGTATTTGATATGTAAGATGTGCTGAGGTCTGAGGATGCTATTAATTAGAGCAGACTTCAGAGAAACTGCCTTTTGATGAAGAGAATATTACAAATTACAGTCGGCCAATTACCAAACCCCATGGCCATGGGGATTTCATGTTCCTAATCAAGCTTCTACATGATGATTTTATCCATTAACACAAGCAGAAAAACTTACTCTCCTACCGGAAAAACTAGGCAAAACAAAAGGGTAAAAGACATCGTATTAAAAAAAACATAACATTTCGACATGTGCTTCATATTACAGCATAACTAAGGGGAAAACAAACAAGTTTGTGAGCAAATTATACGATTACAAAAGAGAAACAATTCAAAAGATGTCACTGAGAGTAGGAAGCTTGATCTCTCCTTTCTTAGAAAGAGGGATAGTAAAGTTCCCTAAGATAGGAAGATCAATGGTAAGATCAACTCCCAATTCATAGTCCATATCCCAATCTCCACCAATATCCTTTGCCAAGCTCACCAGTATGTTATACGGCACCTTCATCGGCAAGTCCAACATCGTCGTGTCGTTAGCTTTCAACGACCCCGGGTCGGGTATCTTCCCGGATGCAATCTCTCTGTTTCCAACACATAATCAATAACCCATAAATTTAAAATACTTAAAGAAAGAAGAAAAAGGCATCGAACAAACCTTCCGGCGCTTTTGAAAGTGTAGAAGATCTCACAAATGGGGATTGAATGGCTGTAGGGGTTGTTCACAGAGACTTTAGCCTCGTACTCGATGTTCTGGCGGCTCACGTGTTTCAGATCAACGTCGGTAACATCGGCCTCCGGCTTCTTGACGTTGGCCAAATTCTCGACCACGAAGTTCTTAGCTTTGTCCACCAACTGCGACATTCCGTACCAAGCGAAGTAGAATTTGATGAGGGATTTAAGATTGTCTAAAGAAGTAATTAGTGTAAGATCATGTTGCTGTTTTGTTTTATTTTTATAGGGGTGGAGGAGGCATCTGGGTTCATGCCACGTGTAAGAATTGCTGGATCAGTTTGCTGGAAACACGTACATAAGATTAGAAACAAAAAGCCGTGTACAGTCGGTGTGTTTTCCGTGTAATGAGTTTTTCTTTTACTTTCTTTACACATGTCACGCATTTTGTGAGAGGCCACTTTCAATAGAGATAAGCATGAAAAATAAATATTTAAATTATATATTCCATTTATACTAGATGTTTAAATTTTTAAATTAAAGTAGATATTCTGTGTTTCTTTTATTAGTATTTAATGTATTTAAAGGTTTATTATTATTTATAAGTTATCTTATCAACTATAGTTAAAAAATAAGTTAAATAAAAATCATTTAACATATTATTTTAATTTTTTATTAATATTATTTTTAAATTAAAAGAACGCTAATTTTAAATTTCCCTTAAAAGTATAAATTTTAAAAAAAAATTAATTTCAAAATCTCCAAATGTCAGATCTCATTGAAGAGGTGTATTTCCCGAAAAATCACCGATGATTGGTATATTTATCGATCTAACACCGATCAGATTATATTTTTTGATCTAACACCCGTAGCAGTAAAGCATGTCCCTGTCCCGTGCTATATGATGATTTGGCACCACGTGGAGTATAGCGCGCCTCCTGTACCGCGCTATACGCTGACATGGGTTACACGTGTGTATAACGCCCCCTGATCCGTGCTATATGCCACGTAGGGGTATAGTGCGGATCAGGGGCCGCGCTATACCCATAATTACCCCTATACCCCCAACGCTTCACACCCCCAATCCTCCCTATAAATACCCCCATCCTCAATCACTTTCATCACACCAAATTCTCTCAAATTCTCTCAAATACTCTCTCTGTTTAAGGTATATTTTATAATATTTTTAATATTATGTATTTAATTTATTTATTTTATTATTTTATTTTATTTAATATTTTACTAATATAATTCTTTTTCAGATATATAATGAAAGGCAGTCTACTTCGCTTAGATGGAAATCATATATATCTCGACACTTTGCTGATACGGTAACATTTTAACGTTTTAATTTAATTTAAATTATTAGTAATAATTAGTTGATTTATTTAATGCATGATTATTAGATTAAGAATTAATTTTTATAATTATTTATTTTTAGGAGAATGACCGTGTATTAGATCATTTTATTAGGAATCTTAAGTTAGTGATACCTAGCCGTGTCTTGTCGTATTTAGTATAGGCTAGATTTGGTTACATAGGTAGATATCAGGGTCACTGTAAGATAGAACCAGACCTTATTTTTTGTCTTATTAGTGCGGTGGAGGCCGGAGACCCACACATTCCATCTTCCGTGCGGAGAGTGCACGATCACGCTTGAGGACGTTTCTATACACCTGGGGCTTCCGGTGGATGGAGATGTGATATCAGGGATAACTTCCGGTTCTTGGACTACTTTGTGTCTGGATAATCTAGGACGTGTCCCGGAAAGTTTTATCGGAGGTAAGATACCGTTAAATTGGTTAGATGCCAATTTTCGGGAGTTGAGCGTAGACGCCTTTGAGGATGAGGTTAATATGTATGCACGTGCATGCATATTGCAATTGATAGGAGGGTTGCTGATGCCGGACAAATCGCGCAACCTAGTTCACTGCATGTGGTTGCGACATCTTAGTAACTTTCGTCTCGCCGGATCATTCAGTTGGGGCTCGGCAGTTTTTGCTTTGTTGTACAGGGAGATGTTTGGAGCCACTGACTACAGGCGTAATGCTATCGGCAGATGTCTCGTACTGTTGCAGTCTTGGGCATGGTATCGATTGCCCTTTTTATGTCCCGTTGTGAAGAACTCATTCGTATTTCCACTACTTCTAAGGTAATTATAAAACTGATTTTGTATATTAATAATTTTATACAGCATATAATAATTTTTTTCCTTGAATAGGTGGTCTACTGATAGGAAAAATCATCAGGAGCTACCTGATGATTTAGAAAATATTAGGGTGCTAATCGATCAGAAGGCTGACACACATGTATGAATTTTAATGTTTAAAAATCGATTTTAGATTATAGTTATATAATTAGATTATTATTTTGATAAAAATTATATATTATTTGTTTTAGTTTGAATGGGTGCCATATTCTACTGATGACATGAGGACGGTGATCCCATCTGAGTTGAGGGGTCCATCAGATGTTTGGATGGCGATGGTCTCTCTGATCTTTTATGCGACCGTCGAGTGGCACTCCACTGATCGCGTGCTCTGGCAGTTTGGTTGTTTTCAACCAATTCTGGAAGCACCTCGCAATATGGATGAGTTGCATAGCTTAGATAGACGCGGCAAGACAGATACAGATTGGCTGGTGAGGCATCATGAGTGGGTCGTGTTGTGGGAGGATCGACATCGGCGCCTTCCATGTAGAGAGCCAATTTTTACTGACTTCTTGATGTATGCTGAGGATTATTATGAGTGGTTCAACAGTAACGGGAAACTGTTTCTACTTCCCGAGGATGCACGAGGGTAGACCTTTCCACGATGTCGATAGAGACGTTCACCGACAAAGCACCATCGTCCCCCGGCTCGTGGACGAAGAGCAGGTGCTTCTGGTTCATCCTCAGTTGCACCAGCAGGACCTTCACAGCAGCCACCGCAGCCATTTATGATGTCACAGCCATATATGATGCCACCATCACCTTTCCATTACCAGATGCCGCCGCTGCCGCCTTTACCTGGTTTATGACCCATCACCCATGGCCGCAGCATAGACACCTCCTGTACAGTTTTCACACTCAGCGATGTCTGGGTTTTCCCAGTTTTCCCAATTTTTCCAGTTTTCGTAGGCCGGTGGGATAGTCATTCATACACCTCCAGGGTCCTTATTCTATGGAGGTACTTCATCGTCATCAGCTCCTCATCAACCTAATGTACCTGCTCAGGACGACGATGACGACGACGACGATGATGACAGTGAGGAGTCAGAACCAGTGATACGAAGAAATCCTCCTCGAGACCGACAACCACCGCCCTACGGAACACATTCGCGACGCATACATCAATATTTTTTTTATTATATTTTTATTTACTTTATTTTGTTTAATTGTAATTTTTTATTATTTCTCATTTAATACTTACTTTATTTTGTTAAATTTGTTGGACTTTTTTTTAATATATTTCAGTTAATTTTGTTTATTACCATTTAATATCAGTTATTATAATTTGGTTCTCATTTACCATTTAATTCTTATTGTAAGTTTGTTGTATTTAAATACCAAATTGTTATTATTTTGATAAATTTTAATGATTGTGTTCGTTTTTTTAATTTTCATCAGCGATTATCGAATGACATTAACTTGAAGTAAATACAAATTAAAATACAAGAATTATTATTTGATAAATAAATACATCATTTCCTCATTATTTTTACTTGATGACAACAGAAGTGGATATGTTTTTCTAGTGTGTCCTGGGTTTCTACAATGACCACATCTTCTGTCTTGTCTAGATCTTTCTCGAATATCCATATCGCAATGAATTCGATTGGATTTTGGATGACCACGCTCCCTCAATAAACTCGGATTTGGTACAATCGGAAGCTAATCTTGAACCTCATCAGGGTCTTTGTCATTACCTATGGGGGAAACTCAAATTCGTATATCTTAAAAACTTCAGATAGTATGTATACGGGATCCACAAAATGGTTATAGTCTTGACGTGTATGCGAGCAAGTTGCTATCACATGAGAGCATGAATACTTCAGAGCTTGAAAAAACCCGCAATCACACGTTCTGTCCCTTAGATTTACTCTTAACGACACAACTTCAATCCCTTGAAGAGGTCGCAGCAACTCTGTGACACGAAACATTTCATACCTTCTAGAGAAGCTTGTTACAGACATTCCATTTGATGCAACAATTTTTTTCTGTAGATCTGCAACTAATCTAGGGTGATAGACATGACCGCCTTGCATCCAGGTTTGATCTTGTCCCCCGAGCTTCGCAAAAAGCACCCCCAAACGAAAATATATAGTTTTTACCAAAGCCGCTACAAGTAAGTGTCGTGCACCCTTTAAGGTTGAATTGATTGTCTCAGCCAAGTTGGTCGTTATGTGTCCATATCGATATCCACCATCATATGCGTTCGTCCACATTTTTTTATCGATGAGGCTGATGTAATCGTATCCTTCCTCGTTCTTCGCCCATAAATCTTGAAGCATTGATTCAAACGTTCGAGAAAGTAGTTCGTAACCTGATCAAAAAATGTATAACTTACTAACTTGCTTTCTTTGCAAAATTAAAATGATCAAAAAATGTATAACTTACTAACTTGCTTTCATTTACCCATGCGCACAATTAATTGACGCTCATCATTCTTCTTGTACCTTCCATGATAGTTCGCAGCAATATGTCGGAGACAATACCTATGTTGGACAAAGGGTGGTTGCCACATTGGACCCAAAGACTCCATTGTTGCTTTGATCCCAGCTCCGCTATATGAAATGACACAAATGTTTTCCCTCGTGATAACATGTGCACGTAAATTTCGGAGGAAAAAAACCCAAGAATTTGTATCTTCTCATTCGACAAGAGTAAAAACAACTGGAAGAATGTTGCGATTGTCATCTTGGACAACTGCCAATAATAAAACTTGCTTGTATTTTTCATACAAGAAAGTCCCGTCGATCTGGACCACAGGCTTGCAGTATTTGGCAGTATTAATGCACTGTGGGTAACTCCCAAAAACTCGGTAGAATTGGCTTCGATCGCGAAGAACTCGATCATTATGGTATGTATAGGAGGTATCAAAGTCCACAATTATCCCAAGATTCAACGTCCGCACCAGCCTAAACCAACCTGGAAGTTCGTTGTAAGATGCATCCCATTCGCCATGAAGTTTGACAATGGCATTTTATTTTGCCAACCAAGCTTTTTTATAGGAGACATTGTACCCATACTGCGATTGTATAGCTGAAATCAACACTGCATCAGC